TTCTCCTTGTGCGAAATATTGCTTGTATGATGCACAGAATCGCCACGAAAAGTATAAAACTATAGTACCAACAACGAGAAAGTTGTGAATGAAATTATTAAGTTTTTATTTGGAAATTCAAATTTTAGTTGCTGAACCCCATTGAGGTATTAAGCTTTAAACTGACAAATGATTTAAATGGCCGTAGCTAGGCCGCGTTATAAATACCTAGCTTTCATCGTAAGCGCCAAAGCAAAGTATATTTCAAATAAATCAATAGATACAAATCTTAGTTGGCGACCGATAAATAAAAACCTCTTCAACCACGTAATGATTATCAAGCGGTGCAAGGCGAAAACATTTCCTGAAGTTAGAACATGCTATGTGTAGAGAAGAGCAACCCACTCCTATTTATCTCGACCTCAGTTACAATGGGCTGTAATGAGGGTGAGGAAATATATCAAAACTCTTTGTGATTTAAATAACCGTTGCGGAACTTGCATGAAAAGCTTGAGGGAGATTTTACTGATTACGCTGCATCAGTTGTTTCCTTGGCAACTTTATTATGTATTGTTTGTGAAAACATGGACTGAGAAGTTCTTCTTAAGGGATGCTTAAACTGCTTACTTATGAAAGCCAGTCAGATTTCCTCTTCCTTTTCTTTCCTCCGTTTTCATACATTTGTACCTTAATTTAGCGGCTGATCAGAAGCAAAATAGTAAATAACAAAAAGAATGAACCAATTCAAGAACCGAGTTGAATTGAGAAGGCTTCCAGTTCGCCATAGCAAACTTATCCTGGGCGAGTTTAACAAACGCTTCAAACATAACCATTACAGAAGGCGAAACAGCAAAGAATTCTCTTCAGGTATAATTTTGTCATTGGTATCATTTTCGACGCCATCATATGTCCCTTTGCCGTTCTGTTTAACGTGCTGGTGAAAAAAAAGACCTCCACTCCGAACTAACAGTAACGGACGGACGCATTAACTGGTCTTATTGGCCAAACATCGTATATCGCGTGGAAAGTGTTCCTAATATTTGATCTAAGAGGCAGTCAAACGGTAGAAAATGTTCACAGCGCTTCTCTCGCACTATTGGTAATGGCGTCATCCCTTCATCTGATGTTGGTCACTTTCGAGAGGTTTCTAGCGATCAAATTTACGATGTACCACTCAAACATTGTAACGGACATCAACATAAAGATAGCTGTTTGATCGGCTGTTTTCTGCTTTTTACCACTTGGTTTCAGTCTTGTCGTTCTGATTACAGGCCTTTCTAATATTTTCCCCATCCACCAAGTATGGGTGCATATATTTGCCATGTAAAACTCGCTTGTTAACCCACTGATTTACTGTTGGAGACAAAAAGAAATGAGAAAGTTTGTATTTGGAAAAAGAACCTCAGTGTTACATCCAGCCATCCAGTGAAAGACGGAAATGTGGCGAAGAACCAGATATTCCAAACTTTGGGGCGTGTTTGGTATTCCTCGGAATGGCATTTTCTTTCATTAAATTAATTTCCTCTTCAGACACATCGACAAAGCGCGAGGCGGCCATTTTGAAACTATAACCACCTCGCCGGAGGTGATTATAGTGGAATTTGACGCCATTCTCGGCCAATAAGAGTGCGAATATTTCTATAATCACCTGAGTAATCATACTAAACAAGCGGTTGTACACAGAAAAACATTTAATAAGACATTTATTATCCAACACGCCAAATTGTTATTTCAGTGGGGGCGAATTTCGCTGATGTTCATTGAGGCAAAGTGCGTAACAGAAGTAAGCAAAGTGGAATGGAATTGACGCAGTACTTCCTTCAATAAATGCTTAAATTTCATTGTCGTCTAACTGCTAGTCTTTGTTCAATTTAGCTAACAATCTTGGATCAATATTCGCTAGCCATTCCGTCTCTTTGTCGACAGGAAAAGAATTGAAATCGTCCGCCATTTGTTTCGTAACCAATTCGTTGCTTGCGCGATGCGAGAAAACCTGTCTAGCCGGTTCTTTGGAGTACAAATACCGCTAGGTATTTTTACTCGTTTTGGGCGTTATTTGTACTCTACGAAGTACAGTTGGAAAATAAAATGAGTCATACCATAACTATATTGTTACGCCAGCGACGATGTGATTAAAATATGATACTAATGATAATAATAATTATAATGATAATAATTATAATAATGATAATAATAATAATAATAATTATAATAATAATAATGATAATAATCGGCCTAAATACCATAACATTTCAAAAAGGGACTCTGGCTCCGGTAGTAGCGAAGACAGATTTGAGTACTTTGAGGACGCAAGCAGTTTTTGGATAAAGTTGTGGGAGACGAGAGGGATTGGAAACAAGGAAGCGGAGTGGTTCAGTAAGATCAAAGAAGCAATTGCTAGGAAAGTACCAATGCCGTCTGAGGGGGCCTGAAACCTACAGTGCTCTGAAGCTGTCAGGTGTCTACTCAAGAAAAGAAACTGGAGTGCGCCAGGCCCAGACCGTCTTGTCAACTATTGGTGGAAGCGTGCGCATGTGCTGCATGAGGATGTCACTAAAGCTTTTATGGCTATTACGGAAAGCACTGAGGAATACCCCATTTGGTTTTCAGAGGGAAAAACGCGACTCAGCCCTAAACCAGGTGAATTCAGCAGCAAGAATCAGCGGCCAATAACTTGCTTAAATTACATCTACAAATGGTTTACATCCTGCCTTCAGACACCAATAGATAACATTGATCAAGTCCAAGAATGAATTCGATCTGATGGAGAATGGACGAAGGGGAGCCAAATCGGGCTGCAGTGGGACATCTTATAATCTGCTGATTGATAGAATGGTGACTTTAGATTGTCACAGAGGAAAACGAAACCTAAGGATGGCTTGGATTGATGTTAAAAAGGCGTATGACTTGGTGGAGCACTGACAGTTGGTTGGTTGAGATCATGGAAGTTCACCGCTTTCCTACTTGGCTGTGTATAGTCATGAGGTGCTTGGTTGCAAGTTGGGATACGAGAATTGTTACTACTATCAAACGTGGGCCCGGAACCTCTCGCTGCATTCGATTCTATTTTCCCGTAGGGATATTCGCTCTGCCCGCGCCTCTTTACGCTATATTTGAATCCAGTTGCTTGGTCACTAGAGGCTACAGAGGGATATAGGCTGTCGGAGCCTATCAGTGCCAGTGTTTCTCACCTATTGCATCTCAACGATTTGAAAGTTTTTGCTTCGTCAGAGGCTAAGCTTAACAGAGTTTTGAAATCTACCAGTGCTGCCATGGAGGACATTGGACTTACATGGAATCCCAAGAAGTGCATTGTCATTCATGTGAGAAGAGGAGTACAATGAAAGATGAGGCGGGTGTGAGGATGGGTCAAGAGGGATTCGTGGAAAACCTGAAGGAGGGTTCAAGCTATAAGTTTTTGGGGGTGAAAGACACGGTGATACAGGAGGAGAAGTTGGCACTAGAACGCGCAGCGAAATGTTACCTTCAAAGACTGTCAGTGACTTGGAGCAGCCCTCTTTCTGATTCTAACCGTGTTACTGCAAGTAACCAGTTTTGCATTGCCAGTTCTCGCATATTTGATGTGGACCCAGCAATGGCCCGCTACAGAACTTCGATCCATTGATAGAGAGGCGAGGAAGATTATATGCGAGAACGGAGGAAAACATCTGCTTAGCTCCACCGCGATGCTGTATCTTCCTAGGGACAAGGGTGGACGTGGACTGCGTTCTGTTGAGCAAGAATATAAACTTACTAAGATCAAGTCTACAATAAAGCTACATCTGAACTCCAATCCAACCATGAGTCTAGTGCAGAAGTTTGAAGAGAGAGCGATCGAGAAGGGATTTACGTCTTTGATTAAGGAGGCATGCAAGTACACGGAGGAACTGGGAACAAGCTTGACTTTCAACTATCCGATTCCGTCGAGTAGCCCGCACCAAGCACCCAATATATCAATATCCGGGAAGAAAGTTAAGGGTTATCTGAGGAAGTCCGTGACCGAAAAGTTTCAGGAAGAAGTTAAGGGCGAGTTGTGGCATGGACGGTTTCTGTGCGTAAGGTGGCAGGATAAAGACCTGAGCGGCGATGAGTGGTTTGCTTGGCTGCGGGACTGGAACTCAGCACCCACCCGTACGATTACCGGGCTACTGGAGTAGCTCACACCCACTGGAGTATACACAAAGCTCAAGACAGGAACTTCCCAAGGAGAGACCACGTGTAAGCCTTGACGGTGGCCTTGACGGTGCGCGCTATGTTAAGCGAGCTTGAGAGCGTCGCTTTCTGCATTTTTCGCAGGACTTCCTTTCTCCTATCGCCCACAAGCTTCTTCATTGTGTTCCTTCGACCACCCCCCTAGTGCATCGATAACTATGTTGAACTGCTCCACACAGTATCCAGGATATTGCTTTTTAAGCTCCCACCGCAGTGGGGCATATTTTTCCGTCTTTTCCTTCTCCTTCTTTCCCCGGTTATCTAACCAGGGAGAAATCATTTCCATCGCCCAGACTTGCTTCCTGTTGTAATACACGAACCTGCATCCACTCTGTTGGCCTTGACGTGACTACTGTCGACATATACTGGTACATCTTAGTACGCTTAAGCATCCGAAGATTCGTACACTAGCTTAGGGGCTGCTAACGAGTACCATGGTGGTACTGAGTCCACTAGCTTCAGATCTTTACAGACCTCAAAGAAAAGCACCTTTAGCACAGCGTTGTGTCGGTTCAAGTACTTCGACTGCGCTAAAGCAGAACACCCGGTGTTCTGCTTTAGCACAGTCGGCCACCCGGCCACCGTGCGAACTTTAATGTTTTAGAGACTTTTAGGGAATATTGTAGAGACTTCTAAGGAATATTTCGTATTAGTTTTTAGACATAACCATAGTTATCATAGTTATAGACGTACGTTTTTTAAGAAGACATAGGCCACGCCTTGCGCCCTATGTTCTTTTATTTATTATAGCATCTATACTTGTATACTGCATAATAATAATAACAATAATAATAATTATTTAGATCTATTCAAGGAGCCCACTCACCAATGCGGTTTTCAGTGCGGCTCTGTAAATGAAAATTTATAAAATAATTAAATAAAAGATAAAAGCCTATCTAAAATGTTACAGCAGTCTTTCTTTGCTTTATACTTTCATCTACGGCTTAATTTTTAAAATCCACTTTTTCAATTTTTGTTTCTCGTTTCATCTGCTGTGAACTGCGTGCGGAGTAAAACTAACATTTTCAAATCCGGTATCACGAACAGTTTGACCCTTTTATTGCTCTGAATAGTTACGCAGGCTTTAGCTGCTCTCTCCAAGGAATATTTCCGCTCGCCATGGATACGCCAGCCTCTGCTGGTATCCATTCTAAACGTCTTTAACTTGCAGCTCAACTGCAGAATAGGAAAGGAAATGTATAAATTACTGCAATGTAAAATATATGTTTTACGGGTCACTATTAAACACACAAAGAATTGTGTTATCAGGTTTTATGAAAATTCAAGTGTTGGTCTTTTTTTAAAAGAATATCTTAACAGGTGAAGAACATGCATGCATGCCAAGAATTTACCAATGCTGGGACTAAGAGACACCGCGGAAATACGTTTTTAGGGACTTTAAGCNGGTGATTTTTCCCTGTTTCTGTTACTGTCAGATCTCGTACCACTCTTCTAGCTAAGTGTTTTTCGGGTTGCTGGCCATGTTCTTTCCCCAGATATACTTGAAATCTATAAACATAGCCTGTAGTTGCCTCGCTCAGGACCCACAACTTCATGCCCCACTTAGTTGGCTTATTTTTTATGTACTGCTTGAAAGCCAACTTTCCCTTGTGGGGTACCATTGTCTCGTCAATAGCAATATTCATGCCTAGTCTATACTCGTCTCGAATATTTATAAGTATAATGTTAAGGAAATTTCTCACCCGGTAGATTTTGTCAAAACCATCAGTACCCCTAGGGATGGCTACTGCATTGTCAGCTAAATGAAAGTATCTCCATATTTGAAGGAATCTTGTTTGAGACATGATGTTGGCAATGCTTTCCTGGTGGATTAGTTTATCCTGGCTCCAATACATTTCGAAACGGGGCAACTTGACTATTCCCATCAGAATAATAATACCAATGAAGGCCTCCATTTCATCTCTCGTGACAGGAGCCCAGGGTCTTTTATGCTTGCCAGGGTCAGTTGCCTTCTGCTGATCGTAGTACCTATTGGTCTCTTGAACCAAGATTTCCCATATATCATTAGTGAATAGCAGATCAAAGAAGTCTCGTTCGCGAGCAGTGTTCACATTCGGAAATCTTCTTGTTGGACCTGGATGTGGTTCTCCAAAGTCAGGGATCTGCACTGGACTATACTGGTCAGACCAGTCAATGTTTGGCTCAGCGGGGTCTTGACGTCGTCTTGCTGGACCGGATCTTGCTCCCCTTCTTGCTCCTCTTCCTCTACCCCTTCCTCTTCCCCTTCCAGCTTGTCTTTCTGGTCGAATAGGACTTCTGTCACGGTTACCACAAATGTCTAACAAAATGAAAAAAAAATGGAATATTTTCTTGAGCCAATGTAACTGAAAATTGCTTTGTTTTGAACTCGAAATATTCAGGAGCATGTTTTCAGTCCACTTCAGAAGTAGCATAAAAAGAACTGTACTTGTAATGTAAACAAACATGTCAGCCTTATTACTTGGACAATGATAGTTTACTAAAACATGTGCTTTTTGGGCAGAACAAACTCACCCACAATCGGTAATCTTTCACTTAAGATTTCTCTGTTAGCAAAGTCTTGTAAAAACACGTAGACAACAGAAATGAAATCTAATACTCGTTATTTGATAAAGAAACTTACCAGATTCTTCGCTATTTGCTTCGTCAGGAAGCAATTCGTCGCTTTCGTCTTCTTCACTTTCCTCGTGTTCTGATCTGCCATTGTTGTCATCTTCTTCCGAAAGTTCTGCTTCGCTTTCATCAGAATAATCCCCGTCAGAATCGTCATTCAGGACTCTTCTAAACACTTCCTCGGGAGATAAATACCTCGCCGCCATTTTTAAATGCTAGCGAATGCGAAACGAAGAATAAATCGCTTTTTACAATCGAAAAACTAGCCAAATTCGAGAAGAATTTTGCTCAAAACAACGACTGAAAGGTCCTCTGGGAAAGCTTCCATATTTGGGGCCATAGGGACCATTTTCATGAAAACAAGAGAGCCCTGACCTTTAGTGGTCACTCTTCGTACAAATATGTACGATTGCCGGTTAAAGGGTTAAGGTCCCTATTTAGGGCACGATACCGTATTTTATCGGTCAGCGGACACCTTAACGAAACCACAAAATGCCGATAACTTTTACAATGTTTTCGCCGTGAGTCTAATTGACAGCTTAAAAAGGCAAAACTTAGAAAGAATACTGAAACTCGGCTCATCTTTTGGATAGTTTTTATGCTCAATAATATATTTTGCCAAAGCTGAACTGAAGTTGCACACAATATGAAATTGTTGTTTTTGGCAGGCGGCGAGTCTGGGGCAACTAAGATTTGTTTTTAAGAGAGCTAAGGCTAAAAATCAGACAGTTTTGAAAAGCTGAAACAGTGATCCGAGGAATTTGCATTATCAGGTTTATAAAGCAGTGGCTTGAACCGTATAAATTGGCATGTCAACGGCATTTCGGTCAGATCCGCTGAGAAGAAGACAGAACATGCCCGTGTTGTTTGACTCAATAGGCACTGGTGTAAGTAGCACGGCCATCCTATCCCCACTCGTTATTACCGAATTTTGTATCTGGTTGACCAAGACGATTTACGTATAAACCTGGGACACACTGCTGTAACACGTGTAGGACTGAAGCCCCTGGCCTCAACTAGAGGAAGATCAAACCGAGGCATTTTCTAAGTACATGATATCCATTTTAATGATAATAAATTAAGTTTAATTTTTACTTTTCACCTTTGTTATTGTTTTTCTGAGCAGCAATTATTCTACTTTCCCGACAAGCAATTGTTTCCCATCACAATTATGAATAATTTGTGGCATGTCTTTTTTTATGCTACTTTTCTCTCACTAATTATTTTATTTTCTCACTTTCTTTTGCTTTTTCTTTTCTTTCTTTACTAACCTACTTCCATCTGCAATATAAAATGTACTGATCTAACAGAATAACTCTGGTTTATTTAGCTCCCTCACTCACAAAGTAACTTATTACAGGGGAGGGGAGCAGTTGTATGCAGGCTAGTTATAGTCAATAAGAAATTCTCAGCTAGTTTCAGCAATATGCACATATTTTGCCACCAGGTTTTTATAAAATTTTGGAAAAACTATGGTTACAAGTCAAGTAGGAACGTTTCGTAACAATGTTCTTTGGGGATATGATGTAATATTACTAATGGGGATCATAATTATCCTTACAGTGGTTATGAGCATGTGCTGTGTATGATTCCTTAAGTACATAAATTATGTAAAGCAAAGCAAAGCTAATCTAAAAAAAATAGATGTAAAAATGTAAAAAAGTAAAAATGCTAAAATTTAAAAATTATTATGAACTCACCTTTGAGCTAGTACGGGTTTCGAAGCTGTCGATCAAGGCATCCATCCTTGGTAGTTCCTTTGAGCGGGGTTTTTAATCTTTCTCTTGCAATAAACTATTTTAAAAGTACAGTCCTTTGGCCTTTTTAATCAACTCGAATGCAGTATTTTAAGCGTCTTAACAACATTGACCGAGTTTAAATAAAAGCGTTATCGAGTTCGTGGCTTCTTTACCTTTGGTGTTCAGTTGACTATGATTTAAAGTTACAAAGTTTAACATTTGTAATATCTCTAAGACTAATATAATAAGCAAGTAATAATATAATAAACAAATTACTACATGGTTAGTTCGCTTATACGATTTTTATTCAAGAGTTGTGATCAGTATCATGGGGCGTCCCCAGGGAACCAAACTAGGGCCTTGGCTTTTCTTAATTAAGGATCGTGCTCATATGTATCTAATACCGCAGTTCAAAATATATGAACTTCATATATTTCATTGTATCAACGATCTAGTGGTCGAAAATGCTCGCTTATGGAAATATGTAGATGACACCACCATCTCCGAGACGGTTGCAAAAGGAGAGCTTAGTAACGCACAGCGTCATAAAGATAGAGTAATACAATGGTCCCTGGAAAATAGAGTCCAATTAAACAATGAAAAGTGTAAAGAGATGCGAATTTCCTCTTCAAAGTTCCAGCAAGAATCTGAGTCCATTCTCATCAATGGCGATGCTTTAGAAGTGGTAGAAAATTTAAAGCTTTTGGGTCTTAATATCTCCGGTAATTTGACCTGGAATACCCATATTAATGAAATTGTTAAAAAAGCCTCTAAGAGATTATATTTCTTGATTCAACTCAAGAGAGCCAAGGTCGCTCGTACTGATCTAGGGCTCTTCTATTCTAGTTGTATTAGATCAATCATGGACTATGCAGTACCGGTTTTCAAAGTTTGCCTAAATATTTAATGCGAGAATTAGAACACGTACAGAAGAGAGCAATGTCCATTATATGTCCTGGTCATAGCTATCATGAGGCCCTGGATATTATGAAATTTAAAGAATTAGCCATCCATCACGACGAAATATGTGAGTCACTTTTCGAGAAAATTGTAAATGACAACAATCACCGTCTTCAAAAGTTAATACCAGCAGCACATGAAACTACCTACTTGTTAAGGCGTGTGCGACCTATTAATGTACAACGCTTCAAAAACAGTCGTTTTAAGAATAGTTTTATCATTTCCTCATGAGA